CCTTGGTGGCGGTAGAAATCGTTGCTATTATCCAAATAAAACACAAAACAATTAAAGCATAATCATGAATCAGTAAAGAATAAAACAACAATACAGCGCAGAATCGTATGCCCGGACGCACTCTTAGTGAAAAGTTTTCCTCCATTTGTGGAAAAGGAAGGGCGCCTTTTGCGTCTGGATATACTTAGCAACAGAAAGGCGCCCTGTACGTTGGGCACGAAGTATAGAAAACTTGCATGCATAGAAATAGGCTATGTTCAGACACAACGACTTACGCCAGTGATTGCGCGATAATACTGGCGTTCGCTACGCCGCGCACAAGTTCACACCACTCGATTACGTTACGCTAGCGTAAGTCGTTGTGTCTGAACATAGCCATTAGCGTACGCAACTGATTTACGAGTCACGCATCGGTGATTTTGAACTCAGCCAAGATTTGACCAATCAAAATAAACCTAGATGTAAACAGGAAATAAAATACGCGAATTACGAATACGAACATTTCGCGCGAATACTTACGCTAGCGTTCATTAATCGCCCAGTCTGGACATCTCGCTAGTTACGCCATGGATTAACGTACGCCTGGCGTATCTCACAGATCTGAACGTAGCCATATAATAAGAATACTAGAGCGCTAACTGCAATGTATTCGATGTTCGAAGTACGCAGAGCTGTGTGTGTGTACCATCCAAGATGGCTGCCATAGATTCAGCCAATCAAATTTCGCCTAAGCGCCGTCGTTTGCAATTGCGCCCTCAATTTACACAGAAAGTTCAGTACATCTAGTTACACGTATGTTTGAAACTCGACCGTTGCGGTGTATGGGTGTAATATACACGATTTTAATTTTCATTCCTTGGTACTTTATTTTTGAATAGGATGCTCCACTTGGCCTCGTTTTGGCTACGATAGTTTAATAATTTGTTATTACCATTACTCATTATCATTAATGAAATAATAGTCAGTCAGAGGGCTTATTTATGGCAATAATATGTATACTAAGGGGGCGCTTTACTACGGCGGCCATATTGGATGGTACACATAAGTGCTCTATCTTGTATTTCTAGTATCTTTGATAGTAGGTAGCTTCATTTTACGCGCGATGCATATTCGTCTTTTTGTAGTAACGAAGCGCGTCAATGCGCGATTTATGACGAATAATGTGGTACCGTACTCGCGCGAATAAGCGCCCGGGCGCTTAAAATATTTTTTTGCACTTTCTGAGGGGGGCTTATTCAAACGGGGCGCTTATTTAAACGGGGCGCTTATGAAAACAGAGTGGAAATTGAGGGGGCGCTTAGAAATAGATGAAAATCGAGGAGTTCTTATGCAAATTTTTAAATTCAAGAGGCACTTTTGAATGAAAAAAGATTATATAAGGACATCACGAATGGTGGTTAGAAAAGATACGGTAATCGTCCAGAGAAAATGGCTCATTACAAGAATGCGTGAATATTTACATAACAGCAAAATAGCAGATGCTAGTGGTTAGCTTGTTGGCCATCGGCCGATTGTGATTCAGCAGGATGGCAGGATCATTGTATTTTTTCTTGAAAACTAGATGAGAATGTACTAAGTTCGGAAAAGTAAAAGAGGAGTAGGACTAGGCATAGACAAATATGTAAAAAGAGTAAAGTTGGAAATATACTGTCTGTCCAGGGATCGGAGCTCTCATCTGTCCAAGAGAAATATCCTCATTTTGATATTGACTGAAGAAGAATGTGTTTCCACTCTACAGCTCAAATCATGCCAACAACCACAGGCCCAGAATTGATTGGATTATTGACTTGCAAAAAAGAAAATCTTATGAGGGCGCTTATTCAAACGGGGCACTTAAGGAAATTTTCACGTTAGGAGGGGCGCTTATGCGCGCGAGTACGGTATTCGCCACTTCGCCAAAATGATTAATTAGCGTAATTAGTTAAATAATTACGATACGAATTTGATATTTGGACAAAATGTTTGGAATGTACGAAATTGCGATTCGCCAGTTCATGGGAACAGCGACGATATAAATACGCCTTGGAGGTACCGCCTAGGCCACAGTTAGTAAGCAGATTAAAAGTGACATTATATGTCACTTTCAATCTGCTTGGGACTGAATTGGTGATGTAATGTCTGGTGATTGGTTATGTAATCTGCTTCAGACTGGATTAGTGATGCCTTGAACACACAAACTGGTTGTTGTATCAAACAACTTCTGGCATCCACAACAAAACCAAAGCGACGAAGAAAATCAGCACCCAAGATTGCGTTTGGTACGTCGCAAAAATGAAAATCCATCTACAGGTTCGCCTTAACCCAATGTCTGCTGTCATTGAACGTTCGTCATAAGTGAATCTGAGACTGGTTTCCTGCAAGACAAAATCACTCTTTCCCGAGGTGCAGCAAGAAGTATACTCACTTCAGCTCCTGTATCAATTAAAAACTTTATTCTTGTGTTTTTATCATAAATGAAAAAATAAGCGACAGCCAGATACTGCGCCAACTGAATCCGTCGCACCTCCTATTTGTGACAGTTCCGACGTCACAACCGTTAGTGTCATCACCAGCAGCTATCAATACACAAGTGCATCCGTCTCTTCAACGCAAGACTCGTTCTGGTCGTCATGTGCATTGGCCCAAGAAATATGCTCAGTATGATTGTACATGAGTTAATTTATTTTTTGTCGCTCGATCAACTTATTTCTGGATCTAGGGTTGGGGGGGGGGGTAGCTGATGTAGAGACTCGAACTTTTGCTTGCCATATTATGTTTCGTCTCATGCTATTGTAATGCGAATTCCGAGCTGCATTGGCAAGGTTTGTTTTTATTGTCTGCTCCCCACTCGGCGTACGACAGACAGACAAGCAAATTGTGTATAGCTGGATTTTATGTACCTGTATATTGAGCTAAAATACCAATCCAGCAATTGTGGATTTTGTGAATGAAAAGAAATATAATTTCCTTTGGATTGAGTTCGTTGGACCCAGCAAGACTAGAAAAAAGTCAAATAGAGAGATTGAAATCCGTCACGTTTGGATAAAAAAAAAGGGGTAAGTGAACAATCGTATCTTATTGCACTTATTCCCTAAAACTCTATCGTAGCAGCTACGTGCAATTACGTACCGGTATTAGGACTATCCGGTGTTTTATCTTAACGTATTTTGGTGTTGGCTACCGTTACCTTCTTATTATTTTTCAATCATCAACATTAAAACTTATTCTATGAATACCATTCTATGAATAGCCTGTAAGCCGAAGTCCCTTCAAATACAGTATGTCTATAATATACCAGCAATTGGTAACTTTTTTTAAAAGTTTTTTTAATGTACCAAAGCTGATAAAGTGTATATTTATATGGTGTTAACAGTAGCGCTTTTGATTTCGGTAGATTAAACGATCGCTATTGAAGGCGATTGTGACTTTGCCGATTTGTGTTTTTTACTATTAAACTATGATACATTGTGTTTGTAATACATAGTTGAAAAATTATACAGATACACGAGTGTCAGTAGTTGAATTGTATTCTATTAACGTCACATTCCTTAGAGAATAGGCATATACAATACAGTAATGCACTTTTTCTTTAGTAAAACAAACAACTTGATTAATAATATCATGATACTATAAGTTTATATATTACGGTTCTATTCGAAAATATACGATATACAGTATTTTATATTGTCAAAACAAACTTTCGTTACATTGGAGATTTGCTTTGCATTGTATACTCTGGCAAAGGGACTTAAATATTATACATAAATATCAACAACCATAATATAAACATACATCAAGTACAATAAATGCAGTATGGTGAAAGACTATATATGATAAAATCAAGAGCACTAAACATAAACGATTTTTTGAGTCTTTGTTAATTACATGGGCGGCGGAACCGGGGGCCGGGGGCCCGGCCCCCCCCCCCACTTTTTGGCGAAAAATATATAATGTCTGGAGAACTTTGTATGATCGGAAATGCAAAAAAAGAAGGAGGGAAGAAGGAGAAGGATGGGAAAGAGAATGTTTATCCAGTACCCGACCGAGTTACATT